GTTCCTGTTGACACATGAGCACACACCAGGTCACCCCAGTCGTGGGGGGACAACCCAGGGCCCTCCTCAGCTGCTCAGAACCAAAACCAGCAGCTGTACATGAGCCCCGTGGAGTCTTGGCTTCTGTGTGCTAGCTCCACTCATGTCCACGCTCCAGTTACCACCAGTTTGGTGTTGGTAACCAAACACTTCTACTGCTCCAGAGTCCTCCCTCCTCACAGCCACCAGTGCTGCAGTGAGGAGGAAGGACTCTGCCTGAGCAGCAGTTTGCCTGTTGACGTGTGGGTGTGAAGGGGGAAGGACGTTATCCGAGGCTCAGTGCCTGCGCTCCAGAGATGGATTCTGTGGCTTCGTGGTGTTCAGGCAAGTCTGACTACTTCACTGACCATTTTCCCGATGCCATCGTAGATCTCGTGGATGGGGGCATTGCACATGAAGGCGCTGGTGGTCACCAGCTTGTTCTTCACATCCACGTGGATTTCAGTGACGTGTTTGTTCACGTGCTTGCAGCCAAGTTCCTTCATGGTCTCGGCAGTCTTTGCGTAAGGCCATCTACAAGAAGAAAAGAGAATAAACCCTGTGTGAAGCTGTTATCACACAGAGCAATTTGACAAAGGCCTAGGGCCAGAAGTGGTGGTTACAGAGATGAATGGTCCCTACAAAAACCCTGCTCAATAGAAACCAAACCTTTTCTCTCAGAGGAGTTTCTCTGGGACTAGAGAACCAGGAAAACCTGCAGATTACAATGACTTAAAAATCTGAAATAAAGCAAAAATAAGACCTTGATATTCCACTACTTAACTCTGCTTACTCCACACTTTGTGTTTAGGTTTGGGGTTTTTTTTCCTCACCAGCTTCCCACAAGTGACATTAGCTCCTACCCCCTCCTAGCAAAAGCTATCCCAGTTCCTTCCCTGCCATGGGGAGAATTCAGGCACAGCTTTTCCATGTAAGGACAGCAGAGGCTGTCTTGGAAGACTCAAAAATCTAATTTACTCCTGATTCTTGTGGTCTCTTGTGCCCCCGTGTGGTAACGTTTCCTCATTACAGAAACCCGTAAGAACGAAACATTTCTAATTTTAACATGAGGAAATGACAAGGGGTACATCAAAAACTCTATCTATCAACCAAGGCTAATTTAATAAATGCATGATGTGGATAACTGAGAAATAACATTCATCTCATGACATTTCAGCTCTCCAGATTTCTGCTGGAGAGTTGAGACAGGATGGTACAAACATTGATGTCCATTTCATACCAGCACACCAAGGTTACTCACATCTTACACTCTGTGTCGTGACCCACAGTCAGTTCACAGCCTGGGAAGACTTTGGCTGCCAGCACTGGGGAGATGCAGCACAGCCCGATGGGCTTTTTGGCAGCATGGAAGGCCCTCAGGGTGTCCTCCACCTCTTTGGAGACAACGCAGTTCTTGCCTTGGGTGGCCCAGGTGCTCAGGTTTTTAGCCACTCCAAAGCCACCTGAGAAAAGAGGAACAGGTCAGACCATAAGATTCATGCTCCAGGGATGGATTTTTTCAGGTATCACTTAGCAAAATGCTAAAATGGATTTGGTGGTGGCAGCATTTGTCCAATGTTGATAAAATAATTCAAACCAGACAAGCTGAACTGTTGCGAGCTGACTGCCAGGAGATGAGACATGAAAGCACCTTTCTTGCCTCCATATGCAGCTGAAGCTGGGAGGTACCAGTGCTCTGCTGGGTGCTGTGTTTCACCCATGAGCTCTTTTCTAAATTTATTTTATAATTTTAATTTTTATTACTTGTCTCTTAATCCAGCCACACTGAAATCACACAGTCACACTTTCACTAAAGGGGAGTTGCCAAACTGACCAAGCTTTCTGCTTTTGAGTCACTTCCTTTCTGTCCCAGCCTCTTCTTCTCCTGGTGAGGAGGGAGGCAATAGTTTTACAACCAGTAAAAATAGCTCAGTGGATGGTACAGAGGACAGTTCCATTGGTGGTTATCTGCCCTCTCATTTTGGGATAAGTTTCTGCAGCGCCATGTGCTCTTTTAGTGCAAGTCCAAGACGGAGGACATCTGTCCTTCCATTCTCTGCTTCCAGCCCATCTTCCTCCCCTTGGCCCTGCCCAGTGGCCCTCCAGCCCACGACTCCCACATCATTCAAGGCTCATGTTGTATCTAAAGCTGCTCCCAAGACTTTCTGCCATCCTACCTGGTATGATGAGAGCATCCAGCCCCCTGACATCCAGCTTTGCAAGGTCCTTGATGTTACCTCTGGCTATCCTGGCACTTTCCACTAGCACGTTGCGCTTCTCCTGAGTTGGCTGTCCCTTCACGTGGTCCACCACATGCATCTGGTCCACATCAGGAGCATAAATCTCTGCCTGGGAAGGGAGAGGAAAAGTCTGTTATCTTTCTATCGAAGTCATTGTCATAAGGAGGAGAAAGGCAGGCCAGGTCTTCTGTAGCTTATGTGCAGGAACATTTACCCTGATCCCAAAGAAGCGAGGATGTTGTTGGGTGAAAGCTGAGCAGCTGTCCACACTGCTTTTTGGAAGGCCTGAGGTGCTGGAGAGGGAGCAGTGGCTCCTTCCTAGGAAGAGGAGGTGACCCAAAAGCCACTGGTGAAGCCATTTCTTAGGGCTTTCCATCCACATCCCAAGCAATCATCTTCACTGGGGCCATCCCAGCCCTGCCCTAGCTGCCCCCAAAGCCAGTCACCCCCATCATTTTGGGCAGTCCCGAAGCGGTCTAGCACTCAGACTAGATCATTGTAAATCCAACTGAAAACATAAATTCTGTTCTATTCTTTGTTTCCTTAGGCAAGCAGAACCCAAAATTAAGAGGAAGAGGTTAAAGTAAGGCCCGAGCCACCTCCAGCAGAGGTCCTTGCCGCTCAAGGGATGAGCTCAGGACGGTGCTCCGAGCCAGTTCAGGGAATGTGGGGGAAATGACCGCAGCAGCTCCAGGAGAGAAAAAGAGGTAAAATTATAGGCAGCGGAGAACAGGTTTGGAGACATCTCAGCTTTCAGCCAAACAGAGGATGCACACTTTGGCTGCAGCACACGGGCATCACCGCTGTGCCTTTGGATTTCATAGGGCAACAGAGAGCAGCTCTGACCCAGATTTTTGGGTGGCTCAGAGATGAGTGTAACGCCACTTTGGGCTTCTTTCCCTCATCTCCCAGTCTTGCGGTGTGGCTATCATGACTAAGGTCATATCACAGACACTGCTTGAGGGTTTTTGCCTTTTATACCTCTTTTCAAGTTCGACTCACAAGAACTGGTTTATTCTAATCTCTGGGGTTTTAAAAAAGATGAATTTCACACAACCAAAACCAACAGTAGTCTTTAAAACAGAAATACCAAAGCAGTAAAGAGGAAGTGCAAGACAAAAATAACAGAGAGTGCATTTAGGAAAGTTTGTTTCAGAGTTTGGATGTGCTCAAAACAGAGCACCGAGGCAATCCTCTCATACAGCAAAGCAGAGACCAGGGAGGTCCCCACGCTCGCTGTAGCAGCTCCTACGCTGTGCTGTTTGCTTTGACTGCAGTTGCTTACACTTGACAATCACTTTAGCAGCTATGGGGAGCTTGTGGTTTGCCCTGCAAGCTGCAAAGCTCCTCAGAGACACAAAACTTCTGCAGGAGAGACAGACTGAAAAGCAGAGCAAAGCAGAAGGAGCCAGAGCTGGGACGGGAGCCCATCCCAGTGTCTCTTACCTGTGCACCCTCCCTGCTGAGATGCACCAGCACAGCCGAGGACTCGTGGATCTCACTCCCATCATATGCCCCACAGCCAGCCAGCACCACAGCCACCCGCTTCCCCATGGCCACAGCCTCTCTGGATTCCCTAGAGAGCCCCAAATTACTGTGCACCTCTGTTCATTGCCCCGAGCCTTTATATTGTGATCCCTCCCCCAGGAGCAGGTGGGGCTGGGAGTGCTGGCCTCAGTTTCTTACTGGCAAGAAGGGTTTGGCTTCCAGAGCCAGGGCAGGGCGTGTAAATGTTATTTGTTTCCACAGCTGACGGCTCCCTTGCAGATCCGTGTCTCTGCAGCATCCCTGGCTGACGTGCCTCATTCAGCGCAGCAGCTGTGTATTTCCTTCTCGGCTGCAAGATTTCATTTCACCTCCGACCAAAGTCCCAAAGTCTTTGCACGTAAGATGGCATTGAAGGGAGCCCTCCCAGAGCAAACATTCATGCCAGCATACCCCTCTCTGTGCCTCATTCTTTTAAACCCCACACTGCATGGGCAGCCTCAGTCTTTTAACACCGAGATTTCATTTTCTGAACTTAAACGTTCTTAGCCTCTTCTCCTGTCTCTCAAGAGCAGACTTTTTGCACTCAGTTGCAGTTGGTTCCTGGCTTTTAGGTCCTGAGGTTAGAAAGAGGTGACTTGAGTTCTCATCAGCAGCACCATCTCTGCATCTACCAGAAAAGTGTTACCAGGAACTGGCAGAGCCCCGACCTCCAAAGGGGCACACGGCAGCAAAATTCACAGCATGAGATGGAGAAAACTCCCTTGCTCATGCAGAGACTTCTTATTCCTGGACCCTGGTATGTTCCCACCTGAGGTGATTGTGTCCCTCTCTATTTCATCTCAAACAGCTGTGGCCTGTTGAGGTTGCCTTGCCATTCGTCAGAGAACAAAAGACTCCATGCAATGTGACTGAAGGGTGTTTTTCAGGGGTTATTGATAAGAAATTTTCCTTGGGCCTCTATCAGATTTGGAAGAGACACGAAGCACATCCTGTGGATAACAAAACAGTGTTTTGGCAAGTTCATTAGCCATAGCAGGCATGAGGAAGGTACTCACTGCTAAGGCATGTGACTTCATTTATTGCATTTATCTCTTAAAGCTAGGGCTGTCAGGCACCACACACTATATATCTGCTACCTAAAGAAGCCAGAACAAAAAGTAGGTGAGAAAGGACTTACCATCTAGCCAAACTAACACAGGCTTTTCCTTTCAGTTACCTTTATGACCCAGAACAGGAATTAAATTGTGATATATGCATGGAAAACACCCAAAGCCTTTTCACTGCTGTTTGTTTTGATACCTAAGGTATTCTAACTGTGGTTTAGAAATGTATTATTAAACCAGCTGAATCATGCTGTGACTTGAACAGAGAGTTTATTCCTCCTTCAGTGGGTTAGTGAGCAGTCTCACTAGTAATGAGACAGGGATAGCCAGAGGCTGATAATTTAAACAGGCTTTCTGCTTGTTGGAAACCACATGGTTTAGCTCTGCCTGTTGCGAACTGATGGAGCTGGTTCCCCTTCCCGATGTAACTGGGCAAACCAGTTCAACATAATAAGATCTATCTCAACAGATAAACCATATCTAAAGGTCTATCTGCAATAAACGTATTCTTGATACTTTCCAGCTGAGTTACTCCATTCTGTGTAGGAAGGTGAGCACGTATTGCGCTTTAATATTAACATCTTGCTTTAATCTGCATTAGTATTGGAGTGAAGATGAGTGTGAAGGAACCCTGTTGCCTCAAAATGCGTCTTGAGGGGTGAATATAGTTAAAGACATGGTTTAGTGGCCATGGTGGGATTGGGTTGTTGGTTGGACTTGATCTTAGAGGGCTTTTCTAGCCTTAATGATTCAATGATTATATCATTTATCTTCACACTGATGATATTCTCACTGATGAAGGGGATGGCACTGCATCTGCCCTGGGTTTGCCCAGCACAGGACAGCTGTGCCAGGGATTCATAGCAGTGACAGGGACAAACAGCAGGACCATGGCCAGTGTTAGGAGAAATAACTGGTCCCCGAGGAGCTCCTGGGCTTGCAAAGTCCTTGTTTGCTCCAGCAAGGTGGATTCTTTAAAACAACTTAGCTTTAACCGGTGTAATTTCCTCACTGGCAGTAGCAAAAAGGCAGTAACAGCAATAAACCCTCAGCACTGTTTTTCAAGTGCCTTTTTTTAACAAGGGATAATCAACAGTAAAATTAACGGGTCCCTGGAGGAAGCTACCAGCAGTCCCCGCTGACTCACAGACGCAAATTTATGGCGGTGAGGAGAGCCTTTGCATTTCCTCCCGCACGCAGAGAGGAGCACGAACAGAAGATGTTTGGGAAAAGGGGTGGAGAGGGGGAGGAACGCGGGCCAGCGCAGTCAGTTTGGTTATAAAGAGCTACAGAGGAAAGAGAGGAGGCATTTTCGGTCCCGGGGCTTAGGCGGACTCTGCGATGGCAGAGGGGAAAGCTGAGTCACTGCATTCCTCTGTAGGGCTCCTGGGCATTTCCGCAGGTAGGGATTGGTCGATGGGGGAGGATGGGGCTGGCACTGCCTTTCGTGGATAACCCCCATTTCAAGGGGAGCTAAGGAGTCTGTTCCGAATCTTCTCTGCCTGGGTAAAGCTTTTGGATCCAGAGATCCCTGCACCTGTTTCAGCAGCCAACGAAATATTTGTCTTGGCTCTAAAGTGCTGGCCTGAACTTTTGTACTTGATTTGTCCTGGGTGGGAAGCAAATAAAAACTTTTTGGGAGTCATTTTCATAAATTATCTGTATTTGGCTGCACTTTCCTCTTTTTCTTTTCTAGCTATTTTCCCCACAGCTTCATTTTTCTGTATTCACTCCCTTTCATTTGCTCTTTCTTTGTGTTTTGTCTTTCTGACTGCTGCCCCTTTTCATTTTTAGGCTGTTTTTCTGTAGGCACAAGGCTTATGTAAAGCCTACATACTTACTCATCTGTAGAGTGTGCATGCCCTTTGTGGAATTGGAAAGCTGATTTTTACCTTAATCTGACAACAGGGGAGCACTTTCAAACATGATTAAGTTCAGGTTCCTTAAAACTAGGCACCCAGAAAGAGTTTGTGGACACAAACCAAGTTACAACACACCTCTCCAGCTCCTGGGATTTCATTACTTTCAGATCTTGCACTGCTATTTGTTTCTCTGTTCCCTGCTCGCTTTCTCCTGTTTTTTGAGGCAATGTTTACAAGTTCTTTCTGGTTTTTTTGTCCCCCACTCCCTTGTCGCACACAGGATCGCTCTTACTGGCGGTGCATTTCTACAGCTCACCCAGAGCAGCCCCCCTGATTCCCAGTACAGCTCTGGGTGTCCTTCTCTTGGTTTTATCATCAATTTTGGCGTATGCAGGTAAGACTTGGAGGGTGCCCAGTTTCGAGGCCTTTGTATGTGGTCTGCTTTGGTTCATACAGGTTTATACAAAATGTGGCAGCCTTGCCAGACCACTGATTCCTTCTCCTAGAGTATGTCAGCACAGCAAGTTTTTCCTATATAGGCAACCAAAGAAACCAATTATATCAGTTTTGAAGAAATGCTTTACCTGGATCTCTGAGAGTTTTAACAGACTGAATACAGGATTTCTCTAAAAAATGTTTCCCAGGCTTTCTGAGAGGCATCCATGGATTGAAATGGCATGTTGATGTGTAAATGCCAAGAGATATGGGAATAATGTCAGAACCTAATGTCTCAAAATCACAGTAATGTCTCCGTTGTCATTTATTTCACAGGAGTTTGGAGAAGCCTAAGAAATGCCTCCCTGTTCTTGTCCCTCTGCCTGACCATCTCAGCGTTCTGGTGCGGCTATGGAGTGGTCTTCATCCTGGAAGGCCAAGGAGTTCTGGAGGATGCCAGTGATTTCAGCAATGCCTTGGTGCCTGGCCTGGTCACGTTTACTCTGGCACTACTCATAATCACAGTGGTGGGCTTCCTCTGCAGAGAGGTCATCGTAGCTATGGTTGCTTCTGCTGTCTCACTTGCCAGCGCTCATGAAGTTGCCATGCATTATAACACAGCTTTTGGTTCCTCCGCTGTGGCTTGCAACTATATGGTTGTCTGCTTGGCTGGTAGCTATTTTGGTCTGGGAAGGATTCTCTGTTTCCTGACCAAAGAGAAAATTGCCCTCCCTGGCACAGATCTGGCCAAGAAAAAGCCCCATGAGCAGATCCAAGCCACCAGTGGCAGCGTGAACCATTTTGCAGCCACGGGTCTGGTCCTGAACATGGTCTCTGCCAGTGTCTTTGGCTGTAGGCTCCTGGGCATCACCAACAAACTCTTTATTGGTCAAGTGCCCTGGCTGTGGGCAGCTGCCATCTACCAGATTGGCATCTGCATTTTATCATACCGTGCAATGGATGTACTGATGGCTACGTTCTTTGGTTTCACGTCCATCCTGAAATTTGGTGGAGGCTATAGCCTTCTGTACCCCATCTGGCAACCAGAGGAGCCATCTTTCCCTACTCCATTCCTGGTGGTTTTCTCAATTCTTTTTGTTGTCTTGGCTCTTTTTCTTATTCTTAAGAGCCCCCTGGATGGTGTGTATTTGCTGTTTTATGTGGCCTACTGCATTGCATTAGCTTGCTGCCCCAAGGGGTTTTTTGAAGGTGGACCCCAAGGTGTGGATGTGGCCATCTTTGCAGCCTCAGCCTTGATGACTCTAATTCACCTGTACAATGTGAAAGCAAGTGCCAAGATCCCAACAGGGAAGGTGGCTGTGAAGGCCCTACTTGCTCACAGCAGTTTCCTGAAGCTTCGTGAAGGGGCAGACCTTCATGCTCCCTATCTAGGGTATTCCAAGTATGCAGATGCAGAAGTGCTTGGCTATGCATGCAGTGTCCTCGCTTCTTTTGCTATAACAACAACAGGGGACCCACAGGCTCCTCTTGCTACCGTTGTAGTTCCATGGGTCACGGTAGCTGGTGGGATCCTTAAGCTTCTGGGTGGCTCAGTGGCCTTTGCTCGCGGTAAGACCTTGGAGAGCAGTGCTTTCATTCTCTATGCTGTCATGTGGATCATCTGGGGCTTGACAAGATACAGTGGCCTCTATAGCACCACCAGAAGCTTCCATGCAGCGGTAGGCATCATTGCGTTCAT